CCTACTCCCCCTGCTTGCTTTCTCTCTCTCTCTCTCTTTCTCTGTCAAAAGTAAATTTTTAAAAGATTTTATTTATTTATTTATTTATTTATTTATTTATTTGACAGAGAGAGCACAAGCAGGGGGAGTGGCAGGAGAGGAGAAGGGAGAGGGAGAAGTAGGCTCCCCGCTAAGCAGGGAGCCCCATGCGGGGCTTGATCCCAGGACCCTGGAATCATGACCTGAGCTGAAGGTAGACCTTAACCGACTGAGCCACCCAGGCGCCCCAGTAAATAAAACGTTTAAAAAAATAGATAGATAGATAGATAGATAGATAGATAGATAGATAGATGATAGAGGAGTTGCCAAATCAGTCAAACAAGGAGCTATACTTCTAGGCCTCTTACGACATGACATAATAGTTCACTTATTGTATAAAAAGTCTGAATCAGTTTCACTTACAGCTGCAAACATTATAATTTAATTCAATTATTAATCTAGAGGCAATGCCTCATTTCTTGCAAGAGCAACTTCTCATCAAACCACCCTGCTTCCATAGAACATTATTATTTGGGGGTTTTTCAAGAAAGAGGGCAAGTACAAAACTCAGTACTGCCCTCTCATCTTTCAGAGCTGTGCCTGAGTCTACCTTCCCCCAACCTGTGTTATCACCATGAGAACAATTTCAGAGACAAAAATATAATAGGTCAAAGAAATTTCACCAAGCCATTGAAAATCCTTTAGATCACAGATAAATTAGCAACACAGGTACCTGGCTGCCTTATGAATAAGGGCCACATATATGGAATAGAATAGTGAGCACTCCCTCCACTCCCCTACAACCAATAGGTATTGCCTTAAGTTCTCCATCTAGAGATTCACCCTTTTGAGCTGAAGTAATTACTGTTAAATATAAATGCCCGTTTAGGGGTCACAGGTTTAGCCTTACTAACATTTAAATATTCAGTGTAAGCTCACCAAATCTTTCATGAGAGCAAAATTTAGGATGGGGAGTTAGAAAGGGAATACTATTACAGTGAGTACTTGGGGCCCAAGAAGGGAGGAAAACATGAAAACAAAGGTCAAGAAAGGTGAAGTGAGGGCCTTGAAGACAAAGTGTATTTGCTTTTCAATTCTCCTACTAGAACTCATTACTCATCCTTCAGTTTGTAGAGATCAGGTGACAAGTAATGATCTTCTCAAGCCAGGAGGGGCCCAGGTTCCCCCTGAGAACCTGGCCAGGGCCAACAACAGGAGCTGTCTCCAAGGTGGAATATCGACCCAAAGGCTTCAGTATCCCGTTGGAGACACACGAGTCGCTGGGCCAGCCAGGAGGAAGGAGGAAGCCAGGAATCTCACCAGCCTGTGAAATTAGCCAACTTCACCCCAGCATCAGGGATAGATGTGGAAGCCAGATGACCTTTGCATCCGGATACTAGGCAGGTTGAACATCCCCTTAACTCTCTACCTTCCACTGTCTGGAATTGGTCATTTCACTTTAAGCACCAACTAGATATAAAATTTTAGTGCATAACCACTAAATAACCTTACAAAGTATTGGATTCATATGAATAACATTGAAAAAAAGCAGAACGTCTGTCATTATCTTTGTGAAGACTTCGCAGTTCCTACTGTAGAGTTTTTTTTTTACAGAGAATAAAATCATTGTGGGGCGCCCGAATGGCTCAGTCGTTAAGCGTCTGCCTTCGGCTCGGGTCGTGATCCCGGGATCCTGGGATCGAGCCCCACATTGGGCTCCCTGCTCAGTGGGGAGCCTGCTTCTCCCTCTCCCACTCCCCCTGCTTGTGTTCCCTCTCTCGCTATCTCTCTGTCAAATAAATAAAATCTTTAAAAAAATAAATCATTGCAAAAATTGAAAAAAAATTCCTATTTTCCAGATCGTTAAACTGAGATATAAGAAAGTTACCACGATCATAAAGTTTATCAGACCCAAACTCACGGTTAATCCTCCATCCTTAGAGCCCCTTTCCACCAAGCACTCCTGCTTCCTCCTCTCTTCACCCAAGGCCTCAACTGACTTAGGAAGTGTTGAGCTTTAATGGAACACTAGATCCCCCCTTCCCCTAGACAGACTCAGGCTAAAATTACTTCTAGTCCAGTGTTACATGGTGCCTTTAAACTTTAATTTTACATTTTCTAAATACATTCAAGAGGTAAAAATTAGAACAGTACAAAAGGGATAGTATATAAATAACTCCCTCACCCCTGCTCCCTCTCTGACCTCCAATCCCCAGGTTCCCTTGCCAGAAACAATGATCCATTTCTTGAGCATCCTTCTGAATATGAATTGTGTATATATAAGTAGATAAAATGCATAGCCTGTTTTGCTCTTTAAATTACAAAATCCCACAATGAATTCCCAGAAATGTAATTTGCATAGAATCTTAGAGGAACACAACATATGTCTTAGAAATGCCCAACATCCAGGCAGGTTTGGGGTAAGGAACAAGGTTTCTCACAATGATTTCAAACCAGAAAAGAGACATACTCCGCATTTTTAGATCCACCACCTTTTCTAAACCCACTTTTAGCCTGTACATACTCCAGAAACAACAGCGTTCATAAAAGTACTACTCACTGATTTAAAATCATATATTGTCATCTGTATAGAAACTATTTTTTAAGCTTCAAGAGGAAGCCCAAAGGTCTCATAAGTCAGGACCTAATGAGCAAATGCATATTCATTCTATCCACATATTTCATTATTTTGTAGACTTCTATCCTGTCCCCTCTAAGCCTTTGTCCTTCTGAACCAAGAAGTCTTCTTCACAACTAACCAAATGAGAAAAACATTGCTCCTGATGGTTCACAGAAGTCACGAGAGACGGTACAATCCCAGCTTCAGGCAATCTGAAACTTCTATGTTTTTAAAACCAGGCAGGTGACAGGTTTTGCTAAAACAGGGCATTAGCAATCATGCATGTGGTAACTAAATCCCTATTTAGACCCGGAGGTCAGGCTATTCCACATTTTGGACGAATAGCAATAATAACCAGCTCTGCAACTGGATACCCAACAGAGTTCAAGAAACAGATGGGAAAGTTATCTATTTTCAAATCTCTGCCAAACTCCCCTTAGTTTAGAAGGAATATAATCCAGTCGTCTGTGCTACTAAATCCAATACCTCTTTCAACACTAATTTATATACACAGTGTGTTGGCAACTACTTGTAGCAATGATGAGGTGGCATTTTATATGAGTGAGCTTCCCAGAGGAGAGACACACCCCTAAGTGGTAGACATAAAAGTCGTTAAAAAAAAAATAAAGTTAGAAGAAAAATAATCACACATCACTGCTTCATCACAATAACAGAAAAACTGAGCCGTTAATACCAAAAGGAATGGAAGGTCTCTACCCCTGAAACTGTGCATAAAGATCTTCACTAGAGCCAGCCCAAACTGTTCTGTCTGCACTTAATGTCATAGTCACAGGTAGCATCTCAAATCCTAGTCCATGACCTCACAAATGCAAGTCACAAATGCAAGAAAGGGAATGTGTATGCCTGTGCATAATTCATGCCACCAGCTGAAAGACAACCCCAAAGCTGTGGTATTACAGCGGCTGGGTGAGCCATTTTCACAGTATGTTTAAGAACAAAAGAGAAGAACTGCCCCCCACCCATACACACAAATGGTTAAAATGCAGCCAATGTCAGTAGAAACACCTGGAGCACCCAATTACCAGAAGATATTTGAGGACCAATGTGCTCTAAGTTCTGTACTGACAACAGGAAGCACATCTGGGCCCTCAGTCCAAATGCAGCCCACGTGGTCTCCTCAGGGAAAGCCTCAGTAAGCAAAACCCAGATCGCACTACACATCTGGCTTTTGCCCCAGCATGAACTACCACTCCCTCTCCACCGGGCACTCTGCATTTTTTCAACAAGCCATTCTCAGCCATCACAAGTGCCTTGGTGGGAATCACAGGGAGGCCCTCATCCCTTTTCCCAAAATAACGTCAACCAGAGGCAAAGGCCAAGGAGGTGGAGCCTGCAGGCCATTTTGCAAAAGTTTCAAATATCCTGGCACTGACCCCCTTAAAAAAATCATGAAAGGCAAACAGGCAAGCTTCTCGTTTTCTCATTAGTGTTCTCTCTCTCACACACACACTCTCTCTCTCATTACAAACTCCTGCATTTATAAGAAACAAAAAAACAGATCTCACATAAAATCATATTAACATTGCTGGCTGTTGTAAACAGAATTTCATTTTGCAAATTTAATACCCAAAATTTGAAATTGAAACTTTTAAAAGAAATGTGCAGTATTCCTGTTACAGTTCAATCCCCAACGAGGTCCCGGAGGCATAAGACTGAACAAAGAACTGGTGAGCCGTCCCACCTTCTCCGAAGCTTTTCTGAAATATGGAACTGCCTCAGATTTTCCATACTCTGCTGATCTTTCCTCTGAAGAAAGAGGAAGCAGATTTCTTGGCTGTACAGTTAAAGAAACCAAATAACGTAGTCTCTCTCCTAATATCAAAGGGGCTTTTCCAAAACACACACACACACGCACGCGTGCGCACCCACACACACGTGTACTTCCTGAAATATAAACAAAAGAGAGAGAGAATATGACAACGAAGGAAAGAAAATGCCACTTTGTTTAGTTTTTTAAAACCTTCCCACAAAATCAGTAGCAAACTCAACAGTGGCATATTTTTCCCCACCATCTCCCCTTATTCCCCACCATCTCCCACTTCTGCTTTACAGTACTGACAGCAAGAGCAAATGATATTGCAGGTGTGAAAACGACTCGGGAAAAGAGTATAAATTGCCAAAGAAATAGAAACTGTCATTACTGTTACCGAAACTTCAAAAGGGCCAGTGGCCCACATTTATCTGTTCGGATCGAAAAACCACACCTCTCCCTAGATCCTCACTCCGGGCATGCCTGCCTCTTCCCAAATCTTCCTTCCCAGGTCCCTGTCCCTAGCGGTTCCTTTAATGACAATACTCCCCCCTTGCAAGCCGCCCCTTTCCCGCCCCGCCGAGTCCTCACCGTGTGGTACATAAGAGCCTCGGTTTCCCCGGGCTCTGACAGCTCGCTCAGCTTGCGGTCCCACTGCAGGACGCTCTGCTCCCCGCTCTCCAGCACCTCCATGCTGGTCCGAGGGACGCTGGGCCGAGGATGCTGAGGGCAGGAGGGGAGCGGGCAGAGCCGCCTCGGAGGTTAAGGTCCGGCTCCGCGGGGTGTGTGCGCGTGTGTGCGTGTGTGCGCGTGTGCTGAAGCTTATGCACTTAGAAAGGAAAAACGTTCTCTGCTCTGCCCGAGGGAGAACTGCCAACTCCCGTCCGGTGTCCTCGGAAGTCTGAGAACTGCCGGGAGAGACAGGCTGTCCAGGGATCTGGCTGAAGGCTGGGGGCGGGGGGGCGGTTAAAGCAGGGCGCGCATCCAAAATGAAGGCAGGAGATCTGCTCTCATCCCAAGAAAATCCCTTCGCAGTAAGCCCACTTTCCACTACCGCTCCAGACACAAACTTTGTGACTTCCCAGGGCTCCTCAGTTCTGCTCCAGGACCCACCTATGACTCCACCTCCCTCTAGGGCAGTGACCAATCGGATACTCACTTCGCCCTCCCTATCCAATCAAAAGTCTGGCTTTCCGCCCCGTCCCGCCCGGAAAGGCTGGGCAGCGGGAAGTCTCCGCCCAGCCTTTGGAATGTGGGCGGGGAGCGCCTTTGTCGTCACCGGGGAACTCCTTCTGCCAGAGCGCAACCAGCCACCGCTCTCTGAGGCAGCGGACCAATGGAGTGCTTGAGTCTGGGAGTGATGGACTGGAAGCATGACCAATGATAAAAGGGCGCCTGGGAGGAACAGCCAATCAAATAGCGACAAGAATACATTTCATAAAGAAGGGAGGGTGAATTCGGTCCCTTCGCTTAGAATCCGCAAAAGTTAGCGCGAGCTTCTGGAAGGGAGGGGAGCCGCTTTGTGGGCGGATTTATATACTGTATTAAATATTATATATTTATATATGGTCTTAATATTTTCTTAATGTAGATTAGCTCATTTGAGTTTCGAGATTTTTTTAAAAAATGAGTTACATATTCACAAATATAAATATTCCCCATTGTGTGTGAATTTGTATTAGCACAGTTCTGGCAAATTGTCAGTTTGTTCCTCACATTTTTCGCCCTAGTTTGGCTATGCTCCTCTCCTGACATGTTTTTTTTTTATCACCTTTTTTTTTTCTTTCAGTTCACTCTACAGACACTTGATAAAAGCCAATGGCTGGCTTTTCCAGGTCCTAAAGAGCTGTGAGTTAAGACCTTGAATTCAGGGACACCAGGTGGCTCAGTCAGTTAAGCGTCTGCCTTCGGCTCAGGTCACGATTCCAGGGTCCTGAGATGGAGTCCTGCATCAGACTCGCTGCTCAGTGGGAAATCTGCTTCTCCCTCTGCCCCTTTCCCCTCGTTCTCTCTCTCTCTCTCTGATAAATAAAATCGTTAGGGGAATTAAAAAAAAAAAGACCTTGAACTCACAGAACTTATATCTCCATGGAGGAGTCAGGCAATAAACAGATAAAGAAATAAAGGCATAATGCAAACCTTTTTTTTAAAGATTTTATTTATTTGAGAAAGAGAGCACGCAGTGGGGGAGGAGCAGAGGGAGAAGGACAAGCAGACTCCATACTGAGCCCAGAGCCCCACAAGAGGCTCCATCCCATGACCCCGAGATCATGACCTGAGCTGAAATCAAGTCAATAAATAAAGGCATGATGTAATTTCAGAAAGTGGTAACTGGTATAAAGAAAAATAAAAGCAGGTAAGACTATGGGGCAGTTCCATGCTATTTTAGACAGCAGTCAGGGAAGCTCTTTCTGGGAAAGTGACATTTGAGCAGGGACCTGAATGAAATGAGGTTTGGGGAAGAGCTGGTGTTTTGCTGACTGACAGGGAGGCCCATTTGGCTGCAGCAAGACTTGCCAGGCAGTGAGTGATGGGAGAGGAGGCCTGAGAGATGGGCAGGGGGACCAGATCACCAGCCTGCGTAGATTAGGGAAGAGAGAGCCTATTCTAAAGTATTTTCCCCAACACTGTGATTTTTTTCCCTTTTTAGACTCCTCCTTTAAGGGAAACAAAGTCATTGAAAATATAATTTGCTCATTTTGTTTTTGGCCTTTTTAATTACTTCGCTCATTTTAAATATAAAGGAGTCTGCCAATTGTCTCTAAAAGTTTCTTTCAATGGCACATTCAGATATTAAGTATTACTTCCTCTCCTTTGCAAGTATTTCTTGGTGAGTGGGGTCAGTCAAAGGTCTTGGGACTCTGTGTTGTCTTTAAGCAGCAGATTGTCATGTGAACTATTCCATTTGTCTGGTCCTATCTCCTGGGACTTTTGAGAATATTTTAATATTTGAGTAGAAATTCCAGTTTATGGGCATGTACCTTCTTTGTGTAATAGGTTTGTCATTTTTCTCTTGGTCCTTGATTTTCATTTTTCAATCTGCTACCTCCTTCACCACATCTTTTTAGCATAACCCTCACGTAAGTTAGAAACATGTACATCCCCCTTAATGTTGGGATACAAACCTTTATCTATCAAACATTTCTGCTTTTGACAAAGTCAGCCCCTAGTTATGCCCCATGTGGTAGGCAGCTTCGAAGATGGCTCTAACTATTCTGCTTCTTGGTATTTATACCCTTGTGTAACTCCCTAACCTTCAGTGTGGGCTGGACTTCCTTCAAACACATAGAATATGTCAAAAGTAATGAGCTTTCAAGAAAGATTCCGGCTCCTCACTTGCTTGACCTCTCTTCCTCTCCTGCTTGCTTACTCCAAGGAAAACCAGCCACCAGGTTGTGAGCTGCCCTATTGAGAAGCCCACATAGCAAGGAACTGAGGAAGATGTCCAGCCAATAACCAGCAAGGAACTGAATCCCTCAGTCCAACAACCCTTGAGCAACCACATCCTGCTAATAACCATGTGAGTGACTCTGGGAGCAGATTCCTCCCCCCAACCCCAGGCTGAACCTGAAGATAACTATAACGTTATCAGAGACCCTGAACCAGAGGACTCAGCTAAGCTGCATCCAGATTCCCAACCCACAGACTAAAGGTAATACATGTAAGTTGTTTTAAGCCACTAAATCTTTTCTTCATAAAATAAGTCATATAATAGTTGGAACCCTAAAATGTTTGATGAAATTTACCTGTACTCCAAAAACAGTCACAATCCCTAATGGTGAGTTTTTTCATCCTCCTTTGTTTCATGTTTCCTTCTTCCATTCAGCGTACACAAGACTTCGCACTGGCTCATTTCTTGTTCTACACTTGAGTCTAGCAAGTCTACACTTGAGTCTTGTCCCTTTCCCTCTCATTCTTAGGACTTAGCAAGTGCGTTGGCTTTTTTTTTTCCAGCTTCTCTGTCATCCTTAAAAAGCAGCAGCACTTACTCCCCTGTCTTTTTTCTTTTCTCCTTTTTTTTTTTTTGAGATATAATTGACATATAACATTACATTAGTTTCAGGTGTACAACATAACGACTCAATATTTGTATATATTGCAAAAAGATCACCACAATTCCGGCTATAATCAACATGATGTATGTTACATTCCCAGGACTTATTTATTTTATAACTGAGGAGTTTATACCTTTTGACCCACTTCACCCATTCTGCCTACCCACTCCTGCCTGTGGTAGTCACCAGTCTGAATACTCTGTATCTATACATTCAGGGTTTTTTGTTTTTGTTTTTCTATCCCACATATAAATGAGATTTTACAGTATTTGTCTTTCTGTCTGACTTATTTCACTTAACATAACGCCCTCAGAGTCCATCCATGTTGTTGCAAATGGCAAGATTTCCTTCTTTTTATGGATAAATAATATTCCATTGTGTATATATACCACATTTTCTTTATCCATTCATCCACTGATGGACACTTAGTTTGCTTCCATGTCTTGGCTTATAAATAATGCTGCAATGAACATGGGGCTGCAGATATCTTTTCCAGGTAGTGGTTTTGTTTCCTTCAGTTGAATACCCAGAGGTGGAATTGCTGGGCTATATGATAGTTCTATTTTTAATTTTTTGAGGAATGTCCATACTATTTTCCACAGTGGTTGCACCAATTTACATTCCCACCAGTGGTACACAAGGGTTTCCTTTTCTGCACATCCTTGCCAACATTTCCTATTTCTTGTCTTTTTTGATAATAGCCATTCTTTTTTTCTTTCTTTCTTAATTTTTTATTGGTTGTTTTGAGGATCAGTACAGACATTTCAGTTTGTACACAATTCTTAACGTACGTACCGAAAATCTAAAAAAACCATGTAGTTGTGATTCTTTTCTAAAAGTTATTCCAGTGACCTTCCAGCTTAAAATTTGGAGGCAAATTTTCCTTAACAGTATATCAAGTACCAAGATCTTCAAATGCTGATACACTGTTACATTGTTAATTCCCATTAATTCACAATTTAATATCATATACACTACATACTCAAATTCTCAATCTTGCACAGCACATTAACAGAGTTACTAGGAAAACTGGACTACCACGACCAAGATGTTACAGAGTGCACAAGAATTCTGACTGGGAGAGCCAAGATCTAGGAATGGTTTTCTTTAGGAAACAATTCTACCAAAAACAACATGGGAATAGAAGTAATTTAAAATATTCAAGACATGGTAAATGCACGACTGACTCCAAATTGCCATTTAGTATGCTTGGTATTATAGGATATAAAAACTACCCCATCTATGGAATGTTGAGCTGACACCCAAGACAGTCAAAGCCTCCCACATTCAATATCCCACTATTTCCTGGTTGTACCAAAAAATAAACAACCAGCAAATTATTTCACCTCTTAAAAAAAAGCATTTACACTTAAAAAATGGGATGAGGTGGGATTCCCTCCTTCTTAAAAATGTTTCTAGAGCTACTAAAAAACTTGCATTTACAAAATAGTTGATAAAAATATTCCTCTGGATTGTACAAGAAGGGCGACAGGGACCACTGATAAGACATGGTTTATGGTACTAACCAGACTTGGCTTCTTTCTCTCCTGCTTCATCGGAGGCTGGACTCTCCTCATTTTTAGTTTCTCTGTTTTCTGCAGGTAAGTCTTCTCTCGTTTCTTGGTTATCCCCTTCAGCCTGTTTTCCCTTTGCTCCCCTTTTCTCCTTTGTTTGCACTTTTTTGTCTGAAGATTTATCCTTTCCTGCCGCCTTTTTTGGCTTCGTTTCCACTTTTGCAGGAGCGGGTTTAGAGGACAACCTCGCTGACCTCCTCTTGGGCTTCCTCTTGGGCATCGTGGCGGCGGGGCGAGCGCGTGCCCGGTGCCTGCGGGCCGCGGCGCGCAGAGAGCCTTCGCGAAGCTGGGCTGCCTGGCCGCTACCGCTCCTCCCGCCCGATAAAAGCCATTCTAACAGGTGTGAGATGATAACTCATTGTGGTTTGCATTTGCCCTTCCCTGATGGTTAGTGATGTTGAACACCTTTTTATGTATGTGTGTGTGTGTCTGTGTGTGTGTGTATGTGTTATATATATATAAAATAGAGAGAGAAAGCGTGAGTGCGGGAGT